CAACTAGTATGGATTTTCATGTATTTTTGAGCTAGTCTCAAGCATTTGAACGTGGCTATCATGGTCAAGCCGAGTCCCCCACTCGCCTCAAGGTATGCATGTCGTCAAGGCTTGAAATGGACGCCGTTGTCTCCCCTTCCTCGTCATTCTCTTTCTCCCTTTCTCCTTGTTGTTCCTTCAGTCAACAGCACGAGGCAAGATGGGTCAGCCGAGTCGCTCCATGGGTCCTCTGCCCCTACTCTCTCCATGGCCGCTTGGTCCCGAGCACACACTCATACACAAATAAAAATCTACAAATAATATATACACTGCTGCTCACACATAGCACGGCCCGAGCAACACAAGCACGATGTGGCCAGGTGATCTCCTTGCTGTTCTCTCTCTTCACCTGTGCGGCGGGTAGTATGGCCGCCAGAAGCTGCTCCATGTCGCCTCTGCTCCCATGCTTCCTCTCCATGGCCATCGATCCGAGCACACACCATACACAAAATAAAATCTACAAATAAATATACACACCGTTGCTCACATATAGCACGGTGAGCAACACACAAGCACGGCGGGCCGAGGTGATTCTAGACGACGAGGATGAGCGCAACTGACAAAGGGATTTTAATCAAGTTGACGATCAGGAGGATGAGCGCGTTGACGGGAGGACGACGAGGATGGATGGAGGTGATCTCTCGACTTCACGAGGATGCGACATAGGACGCACTGTGGCGCCCCGATAAAGGGGACGGCGACGAAGCGCCAGTGAGATAGGACGAAGCGATCGCGAAGGCGGCGGCAGCTGCGGAGCTGTGGACAAAGCTGGTGACGATGAGGACAAGGATCGATTTACGCAGCCGATGTGGCCACGGTGGATCCAAAATCAGATCTCAGGGCGAGGGATGATGGCGGCGATCCGGGGTCTAGGGCGCCAGCGAATGGGAATGGGAGAGGCGCGAGCTGGCATGAATGTGTGAGCCCACCTTTTAGTCCCGGTGGTTGATCGACCCTGAGTAAAGGTGGGCTGCAGCTGGCTTTTCTCGCCGCCTGTAAGTTTTTCCTTTTTATTTATTTCTTTTATATAAATATGCAGAGAGTTATTAATTGCCTTTAATAAATAAAATATCATCCAAAAATTATAATAAATATTCTGGACTTGGTTTTGCATTATTATACACAACAAAATTTGTAACCCAAACACTTTTGTTTTATCAGATAAATATTTAACATAATGTAAATAATAGTTACAATTTGCACCATGCAAAAAATATACTATTTGATTAAAATCATTAAAACTATTACTTTTTGACAGAAATAAGTTTTCACATCTTATTAACGTTGATCATTTGGTTTTCATCACACATTCTCCACGGAAATCCACCGTCACAAAAAATTCATTTAAACAAAGAGAAAATATGAAAACACCTAAAAAATCAAGTCACAATTATTACATAATAGGTCTAATACATCACTATATATATCAAGCGCATATAGTAGCGAACTTCTTAACGATATCCCTTTAGTTATGATTGCGCCTGAATCCATGGAGTGTCCTCATCTATTTAGCCGGATGCTTGGGTCTTTATTCACCGTGGAACGGTGGGAATTCGGTCATCCTTTTCATAATCTTCCGATATGCCCCGATTTGTCCGTAATTTCGACGATGTTTCTTTTCCCCGAAGAACTACGCGGCGCTTTTGGCTCATTGATTGGCCGTTGTTGTTTTCCTCTCTCTTCGGTATTGTAGGCATGTCGTTGACATAGAACATCTGATTCATATCCTTGGCAAGGACGAACGGTTCGCCTTTGTACCCAATATTATTGAGGTCCACGGTTGTCATTCCATATCTTGTCGATCGCTACCCCGCCTCCAAATGCTTTTACCCATTGGCACTTGAACAAAGGTACCTTAAAAGTAGGTGCATAGTTTAGTTCCCATATCTCCTCTATGCGCCATAATATGTTTGCTTATTTCCATTAGGGTCAGGTGGCATCTATGCGACACCACTATTTTGGTTGGTGCTCCTTTTATCTTGGGCTATCAGTATAAAATGTATTCTCATTTATCTCGCACTTTTGTATGTGAGGATATGCCACGATGGCTGCCTTAGTCAATAAACATGCTTCCTCATCAATACTCTCATCACCCCGACATTCTTTTCACAACCAATCCGCTGAAAGTTTCTCATGTCTTTGACGATAATCCAAGCTTCCGGACTTCTCGAAACTCGGATCGGAGCAACTCTTTATGTGTCTCGATATACGGATCCACCAAGGAGGAGTTTTGCGTAACTGTGTAGTGTGCTTTATTAAAATAATTGTCCTCGCAGTATCAATATATGTTTTCTTCCTAGTGTCCCTTTTCCACTTAGTCTCCCTCATGTCGCGATTCAGAACACCAATCGAGTCAAGGTTGGGAATAAAGTCAACACAAAACTCAATGACCTCCTCTCTGCTCCATAGCCCTTGGCAATGCTTCCTTCCCGCCAAGCACGGTTGTGAACATATTTCTTTAGGACTCCCATGAACCTCTCAAAGGGGAAACATGTTGTGTGGAACATAGGACCCAGAATGCTAATCTCCTTGACCGTATGAACTAGGAGGTGTGTCATGATATTAAAGAAGGAAGGAGGGAAATACCAACTCAAAACCCATAAGACATTGAACCATATCATTCTCAGAGTTTAGCAAGTTCCATTGGATCGATTGCCTTCTCGAGAAATTGCATTGAGGAATGCACATAGCTTTATGGTGGCTAGACATACATTTGGAGGTAGAATTCCTCATAATGCAACCGGAAGCAATTAAGGCCATGAGCACGTGGCGCTCATGGGACTTTGTTTAGAATTTCTTCTCTAGCACATTTGTTATACCATTTATATTCGAGGAGAATCCAGATGGTACCTTGATGCTTAATAGGCATTCAAACATGATTTCCTTCTTCTTTGCTAAGAGTGTAGCCGGGTGACTTAAGTAATGGCGTCAATCATCCTGCTCTTCTCCGGATGTAGGTTGTCTCCTTCTTTCAAACATCGCAAGTCCTGTCGTGCTTCAAGTGTGTCCTTAGGCTTCCCATACACACCCATGAAGCCTAGCAGGTTCACACAAAGATTCTTCATCGTGTACATCACGTCGATCGCTTACGGACCTCTAGGACATGTCAATAGGGTAGCTCCCAAAATATGGACTTTTCTTCCACATGGAGTGCGTGGCCGTCGCTATTCGGAACAGTTCGCTGCCATGTGCCTTTCTAAATACTACTTTCACATCCTTGACCATATTGAGTACATCCTCACCAGTTCAAGTTGCCTGGCTTGGTCTGGTGTGATCCGCCTTTACTTTTAAAATGCTTGTCTTTCTTTCTTAGGGGGTGATTCGCAGGAAGAAATCGACGATGGCCAAGGTACACAACCTTTCGACATTTTTTCAAAAATATAACTTTAATGTCATCGAAACAGTGCGTGCATGCATTATATCCCTTGTTTGATTGTCCTGAAAGATTACTTAGAGTAGGCCAATCATTGATTGTTACGAACAACAATGCTCGCAGGTCATGTGTATGCATTTCCTTGTATCTAGAAGCATCCAGAACCCATTGTGTGCTACCAGTGTCCAATCGTTGAGTAATACTAATACTTGTTGGTTCATGACAATCACCTGCTACATCAAGTTGATATACCATCCTGAAAACCCTTGCCCTGTGCGTATCAAAAAGATTCGCACAGCCTACAAAACTTTTTGGGAAACGTACAGACAATAGTCTGTTTGGATTTCCCAAGAGTCTAAAGTTTATTGACTAAATTTTAGATCACTTTAGCTCTCGAGTCAACCAAGATTCAATTATGCTGAACAGCTGTTTTATAACGAAAGAAAGTGAAAACAAACAACTAATGCAAGGATGGACGGCATTTTATTTATGCAAGAACGATGCCATTATTTAGTAATAATTTATAGGAAAGAGACACGTACACATAACACATTCATTATCCGGCAGATGCAGAGACATGCATACATGGTGGCTGTCCGCGTCATTCGTCATATTTTATTCAAGTTCTGGGAGCGAGGAGCGAAGAAAGCTGGGCATGCAGCAGCAGCAGCAGCAGCAGCAGCGAGCTTATCAGCCGACATGGGGCGTCTGGGCGACGGTATCGACGAAGATGCGGACGCGGTTGGGGCGGTATTCCAAGGTCACAGGCGAGCTGGTGGGCAGCACGACGATGTCGGCATCGGGCTTGTCCTTGAGGATCACCTTCTGGCTTCCTCCACGCTGAGCCCGACCACCTCTGGCCACGACGTCTTGGGGCCGCCGCACTCCGGTGCCGCTGTCGCCGTGGAGCTCATCGGTTGTCGGTCGCGAATTGAAACTGCAAATCAACTGATGACGATAATTTAATATATATAATGATGCTCTGGCCTGTGAATTAAAAAGGAAATTAGCAAACTACTGGTAGCCACTATATTAGTATTGCAAAAGGCCAAAAGCGTAAGGTATAGAAAGGCTAACTCACGGGCAAGTGTGGCTTGTTATTGTGCTTCTTCTGCTACTGGTTGCTGAGTATGCACCGGTGAGGTATTTATAGAGCTGCAACCAGCAGGGCAGATGCGTACGTGTGTGTTCTTTCATCAGGATTATTGGTCTAAAGCTAGGCGGATGTAATTAAAAAAGAAAAGAGAAAGATAATGTTGTTGACGGTGCCAAGAAATCGTAGCTGCTCCAATTGCTCAGTCACCAATAATGCATCCATTATATTATATACGCACGAGACACACGAGGTGGCCCCTGCAGCCAGTAGAAACAAGAAAAGAAAAGATAGCAACGCTACAGAAACATGCATCCTCCCGGCAACCAAATAGCTAGTCAGGCAGTCAGCAGCTTCAGTACGCGCAGCAGACACCGACAGAAACTTGACAATTATAGTGAATCATTAATGGTCCCTCGACGTTTTTCTCGTTATATTCTTCTCCTCTCGCCGACAACTAGCTAGTCTAGGATCAGCCCATCTTTAGCTACATATAGTTGCTCCTTCTACATATCCTTGATGGTGATACATGCCCCATTATCTGTGGATTAGATTCTGAGACGGAAGACCACTTAATCCTCAGGTGCCGCTTCTCCAAAACTCAGTGGAACCGGATGGGCTTTGAGACTGAAAACGTCCAGGTGACCTCGCTCTGGAACATCACCCTGCCGACGGGATTCCCCACCGCTCACTCGGCAAGTTTCATTCACCTGATATGTTGGATGTTATGGAAACACAGGAACGATGTGGTCTTCAACAATATGGCGCCCTCATACAATCGTCTCCGGGGAGCATGCAAAGACGCCGTGAAACCTATGGAAGTTTTGCTTGCCTATTGCTGATCGGGGTGTAGCTGCCCACTGGTGTAATGTAGTTTCTTTATGAATTAAGTCCTATAAAAAACTGTCCTACCCCTCCTCCAATGTACTCTGTCATATGGAACTGAGCAATAAGCTTTTGTTGCTCCAATGCAATCTAGTAGGTGGGGAGTGCTTCTCCCCTCCGGTTATCCTACAAAAAAAATATATTATTACAAGAACTATCATAGCTAGAGAGAGATTATTCAGTTAACCTGCATATGGAGAAACCAAGTAACCGACCGCGAATCTATCGACCGACCACTTAAACTGTCTTGTTAATTGACCCCAAATGCTATGCTTGTGGCACGGTGGCAGAATTTTTCTTCCATAAATGTAGTTTTGTTAACTTTCAATATCACTGTCATGGACCTGCTCATGGTTGTCCTCTGGGCCGTTCAACACGTGATGGAGTATGCACTGGCTTGATTTGGCCCTTGGCCCATAGAACTAATAGCAACTTGCCGCGGACGCGCGTGGAGCGCAGAGGCAATGCCCCGGTGGTGGAGCTGGCCGGCCAGGGGTTCGAACCCCGGTTCTGCACCACTTGCTGCGTGCAAGCAAATAATATCCAAGCGCCTGCCTCTCTCATGTGATGCCACGATTGGATCGTCGCCCTCACGAAATCAGTGGATTTCGGTGATCTCAAGAAGGACACGGTCTTCAGATCCGAGTGTAGCTATATGTTTGTTTGTACAGTGAGTGGTGTGTAGGGCGGCGCATGTGTCGTAACTAACAGATGCTACAGCTGTAATATATCCTTTTCTCCTTTTCGTTGTTCTATATACTTCATGTGTATGCATTTCCTTGTATCTAGAAGCTTCCAGAACCCATTGTGTGCTACTCAGTGTCCAATCGTTGAGTAATACTAATACTTGTTGGTTCATGACAATCACCTAGCTACATCAAGTTGATATACCATCCTGAAAACCCTTGCCCTGTGCATATCAAAAAGATTCGCACAGCCTACAAAACTTTTCGGAAACGTACAGACAATAGTCTGTTTGGATTTCCCAAGAGTCTAAAGTTTATTGACTAAATTTTAGATCACTTTAGCTCTCGAGTCAACCAAGATTCAATTATGCTGAACAGCTGTTTTATAACGAAAGAAAGTGAAAACAAACAACTAATGCAAGGATGGACGGCATTTTATTTATGCAAGAACGATGCCATTATTTAGTAATAATTTATAGGAAAGAGACACGTACACATAACACATTCATTATCCGGCAGATGCAGAGACATGCATACATGGCATGTCCGCGTCATTCGTCATATTTTATTCAAGTTCTGGAGCGAGGAGCGAAGAAAGCTGGGCATGCAGCAGCAGCAGCAGCAGCGAGCTTATCAGCCGACATGGGGCGTCTGGGCGACGGTATCGACGAAGATGCGGACGCGGTTGGGGCGGTATTCCAAGGTCACAGGCGAGCCGGTGGGCAGCACGACGATGTCGGCATCGGGTTTGTCCTTGAGGATCACCTTCTTGGCTTCCTCCACGCTGAGCCCGACCACCTCTGGCCACGACGTCTTGGGGCCGCCGCACTCCGGTGCCGCCGTCGCCGTGGAGCTCATCGGTTGTCGGTCGCGAATTGAAACTGCAAATCAACTGATGACGATAATTTAATATATATAATGATGCTCTGGCCTGTGAATTAAAAGGAAATTAGCAAACTACTGGTAGCCACTATATTAGTATTGCAAAAGGCCAAAAGCGTAAGGTATAGAAAGGCTAACTCACGGGCAAGTGTGGCTTGTTATTGTGCTTCTTCTGCTACTGGTTAAGCGAGTATGCACCGGTGAGGTATTTATAGAGCTGCTGCAACCAGCAGGGGCAGATGTGTACGTGTGTGTGTTCTTTCATCAGGATTATTGGTCTAAAGCTAGGCGGATGTAATTAAAAGAAAAGAGAAAGATAATGTTGTTGACGGTGCCAAGAAATCGTAGCTGCTCCACCGCTCAGTCACCAATAATGCATCCATTATATTATATACGCACGAGACACACGAGGTGGCCCCTGCAGCCAGTAGAAAACAAGAAAAGAAAAGATAGCAACGCTACAGAAACATGCATCCTCCCCGGCAACCAAATAGCTAGTCAGGCAGTCAGCAGCTTCAGTACGCGCAGCAGACACCGACAGAAACTTGACAATTATAGTGAATCATTAATGGTCCCTCCACGTTTTTCTCGTTATATTCTTCTCCTCTCGCCGACAACTAGCTAGTCTAGGATCAGCCCATCTTTAGCTACATATAGTTGCTCCTTCTACATATCCTTGATGGTGATACATGCCCCATTATCTGCGGATTAGATTCTGAGACGGAAGACCACTTAATCCTCAGGTGCCGCTTCTCCAAAACTCAGTGGAACCGGATGGGCTTTGAGACTGAAAACGTCCAGGTGACCTCGCTCTGGAACATCACCCTGCCGACGGGATTCCCCACCGCTCACTCGGCAAGTTTCATTCACCTGATATGTTGGATGTTATGGAAACACAGGAACGATGTGGTCTTCAACAATATGGCGCCCTCATACAATCGTCTCCGGGGAGCATGCAAAGACGCGGTGAAACCTATGGAAGTTTTGCTTGCCTATTGCTGATCGGGGTGTAGCTGCCCACTGGTGTAATGTAGTTTCTTTATGAACTAAGGCCCCGTTCGCTTGTCTGAAAAAAGAAGCAAAAACACTGTAGCGGATGGTTGTGTGAGAGAGAAATACTGTAGCGGCTGGAAGACGCACTGTAGCATGTGAGGAGAAGCAGCCGGCTGGTCCTTCACAGCCACCTCGCCGGCCGTACATTCTGAGTTCTTTGACTCAGTACACAGGGGCGCACCAGAGGACTAACAAGAGGTCGACTGCGGATTAAGAGAAGGTGAGGGTCTGCAAGATGATAAGGAAACTCGATGATAAGAATATGAATCAGGAAAAAAGGGGAAAACAGAAACAAAGAAACATAACGAGGATTCACTCACTCAGCTATCTTCTTCTTGATAAAACCAACCGACGACCTTAGAGGGGGAACTATAGCAGCAAAAATATCTCCACTACCCTGCGACAGGAGTGGCGTGGTCGGTACCGGAGCCCAGAAGAACTCAAGCAAAAATATCTCCACTTTCCTCCTTTTACAAGTCCAAAGTTAGAACAAAAAGAGGTGTTCAACAACAGAAAAACAAGAAAACAACTCACCAACGCATAACAAGGGCTGCATCATCATCCTCATCTTCCTCATTCTCAAATATGGCAACCACAGCGCGATCTGAAAAAGAAGGAAAGTACTCGGTTAAAGGCACAAACAAACAACAAGAAGACAAAGCGTATTAATATGCTCACCTAGGAGCATGCTACCTAAAACTTGAGTACTTGGACGAGTACTCAACTGGCGAGGCTTCTTGGTAGCAGACAAACCAGAAGAAGAACAATCCGCTCGCCCCCTTTTTCCAACACTACGAGAAGCTCGAGGAACTGGACGAGGAACATACTCTACATATACGTCAAGAACTGTGGAAGAAACACCAGGAAACATCGTGGTGGTTTGAAACTTACAGGTTAAAGATGCCCCAGCAAGACTCCCCAGTCTCCACAATGGCAGGGCAGTCATCAAGGGGGTTCGGATCAACGAAGTTACGTCCCAATTCCTATAAAAGAGTAAAATAACCAGACAAGAAAGATTAAGCAAAAAGTGGAGATAGCAAAGGAAATACAAAAAGTACCCGCATAAGAAAAAACAACTCACAGTAGGAGGTGGGTTGTTAGCATAATACTCAAGGACAGCATGCGGAACGACGCTTACTCCTTTCAACATCTTCTGAAGGCGCTCGAGCACCTCCTCATCGGTCAACTCAAGGGCAGGGACCATAGGAGAAGGATCCTCCGCCCCAGAGTACTCAAAACCATAATTTTCTCGCTCCTTCAGAGGCTGAACACGGCGGCGAAGAAAACTAGAAATGATACCGCCCGGTCAAGCCCTCGCTGCTTCGTGAGTACATATCCTCTCAAGAAATGGCTTGATCGCCTGGAGC